AATTCCTCCAGTTCAAGGAGCTTCTGCAGCGATCATCTCCTTCTATGACGGCAATTACGAATTCAGGTAACGATAGTGCTTGTCTTGTCTCGTCTTCCTCCAAGTGGGTTATTGATTCCGGAGCCACAGATCATATGTCAGGTAATCCTAGCGTCTTCTCCACTTTTCAGCCCTACACATCTCATTCCCCTGTTACCCTTGCTGATGGTTCCACATCTAAGGTCCTTGGGTCAGGCTCGGTTATCCTAACTCCAAATATGCATCTGTCTTCTGTTTTGAGTTTACCCAATTTCTCATTTAATCTGTTGTCTCTTAGTAGACTTACTCGTGATCTTAATTGCTTTGTCACATTCTTTTCTGACCATTGTGTGTTTCAGGATCTTACGACGAAGAAGATTATTGGTGAAAGACGTGAGATTAATGGCATGTATCTTCTCAACACTTCCATTCCTAAAGCAGCTGCTTGTGTTGGGATTGAGTCACCTCTTGAGATTCATTATCGTCTTGGTCATCCATCCTTGTCCCTGTTAAAGAAAATTTATCCTCAATTTAAACATCTCTCTGTTTTAGAGTGTGAATCATGTCGTTTTGCTGAACACCATCGTGTTAGTTTGAGTCCTAGAATAAATCTACGGGCAAGTGCTCCTTTTGAGTTGGTTCATTCTGACGTTTAGGGTCCTTGCTCGGTTGTGTCAAAACCCGGATTCCGGTACTTTGTTACTTTTGTTGATGACTATTCACGTATGACTTGGCTCTATTTAATGAAATCTCGTTCTGAGTTATTTTCTCACTTTCGTTCGTTTTGTGCTGAAATCCAAACCCAATTTAATATGCCTCTTAAAATTATGCGTGGTGATAATGCTAAAGAATGTCTTTCCAGCCCCTTCCAAGCCTACATGCGTGACCGTGGCATTCTCCACCAAACTTCGTGTGTGGATACTCCAGCCCAAAATGGAGTAGCTGAACGCAAAAATCGACATCTGCTTGAAACTGCACGGGCACTCTTGTTTCAATCAAAAGTGTCCAAGATGTTTTGGGCTGATGCCGTTGCCCCGGCATGTTTCTTGATTAATCGCCTTCCATCGAGTGTCCTTGGTGGCTAGCCACCATTTCATATTCTCTTCCCTGATAAACCTATTTTTCCAGTCCCACCAAAGATCTTTGGGTGTACATGTTTTGTAAGGGATGTTCGTCCATCTGTCACTAAGCTAGATCCAAAATCCTTGAAGTGCATCTTTTTGGGGTACTCCCGGGTTCAAAAGGGATATCGTTGTTACTGTCCTAGTCTTGGTCGATATCTTGTCTCCATCGATGTGAGTTTCCATGAGCATGTTCCTTTTTCTTCACCTACAGATTCTGTAAATGAGGGGGAGGGTTCTGGTGACATTTTATTTTACACTACCTCTAGTGCTACAATGCCCTCTACTGGTGTGCCTCCCATCATTCAGGTTTACTCCCGCAG